TCATAATTTTTAAAGTTTTTGTTAACTATTAATAACTCATTTTTAAGAACGTTGTGATTTTACAGTTGTAATAAAAATATTAAAAGGTTGAATTGTTTTTTGTTTTGTTATAAGTCATATTTTTTAAAGTGATACTAAAATTAAGTTACTATTATTTAATTTTAAAAAATATTGTGATTTTATTTTAAAACAATAAAAAAATATACATTGTTTATTATTTATTAGATACCTATTTGTAATAACATATTATTTTGACAAAAGGTTCAAATTGGATTATATTATAATAGATTGTAATTATTTTTATTACAATATCAGCTGGYCTAAGAACATGTTTTATGGTAAAATATAACTATGCATGAGCGCAAAAGTGGCCTATCCAACAAMAATTTGGGGAATTTTGTATGTTTTGTTCCCAAATAACTCTTAGAATTATGTCTTAGATGTATTAATATTTAATATGAAACAATAGTTAAATTTAATTCGTTTTTAAATATTGATTTTTTTAATCAAATTTTCAGAGAAATTGAAAACGTGTATTACTCACATTAACCATTTGATGGAATAGGCCACTATTGCGCTCAACCCCTCATTTAGTGTATGAATTGTCGTATGAGGATTTATTAGATTTTAAACCTTTAGTTAAAAACTCAGAATTAAATTGGAAGACATCAACTGATAAACAAATAATTAAATGGAATAGTGTGAAACAAATAACTGCGTCATATGAAACACCATTTACACTAAATATTAAATACAATTTAGAAAGAATATTTACTATAAACATGGGCATGTTGAATAAAAAAAAAAAAAAAATGGGAAGTTTCAACCACGTTGTGTACCATTACCAGCCTATGAACAAAAATTACCGTTGGATAAAATGAAAATCAAAAATTTATTATCTTTATGTGACAAAGGACTTATTCCAACTTGCTACCATGATTTTTATAGATCGTTAACTCCAAAGTACTGTGTGCTATAATATTGTATTTTAATAAAGTTTAATTCCTAAATATTAATAATAATAAATTATAATATTGTTATGTTTTTTTTTTTTTTTTGTAAATAATATGACTTCATTAATATTTAAAGTATTATGTTTTTTTTTTTATTATATATGAATTTATACAGTAGTTGTTTCATTTAAGCAAAATATAAAGTTTGTTATAATTATTATGAGTTGTTTAAAACCCTTTGAAGCATAGTGGTTACGCCATAACCATCTATGTTCATATTTTTCCTAGTAGAAGCATAGTGGTTTTTATTCGAAACCACCATTCAATCTAGTCACCAGAATACGATCTATTAGATGTGTATATTTTTTTTTGATAATATTCTATTTTTAAAATTTGTTAATACGATTTTACGGTTCGGCGAAAAAACCACCAAACATTCGTTTCTGTTTCTGGATGTGTGTTTATCGGTTGTAAAACGCTGGAATCATTGTAAAACCTGTATAACATTGTGTCAAATACTCAAATAAACGTAAGTAAAGATATAATTGTTGTTTTAGTCTATTCGTGTAATAATTATTTACCATAATATTGGTGGTTTTAGTATGAAACCAATATGTAAATGTAGCAATAATAATTCAATATAATAGCAACTGATTCTGTATTTTATCGCATTTACTTCTTGTAGTGCAATGATTCAAATTTTTATATTATTTTTTCATAAAAATATACGAGTTTTTGAATAAWTTTTTTTTTGTATGGTCGTGTAGGTATATATAATATAATAATAATATATATAAATTTATATATATAATAATATATATAATATATATAATTAATATATAATATTAATATGGATGATGATGAAGTAAAAAGAATTAATGAGTCGGAAGAAATTCTGAGTGACGGAGAATCAATAATATCTGACGAATCTGATAGCGACGATTTTGAGTTTGATCGTACACATTTAACAAACGACGAAATTTCTATAAATTCTAATAATATTTTTGAAGCTTTAGATATAAACTCTTCACCTATAGTATTTTATGATGAATTTATTTTAAATTTTAAAAATTATGAGACTGATAATGCGATTGAGATTAGTAATAAAACAATAGATGTAGATAATTATGAAATGACCGACGATGAAGAAACTTTGACTGCTAGGATTCACAGAGATGGGTTGATTTGGAACAATGAATTTAGGCACTATGAAAGAGATGATTTATTTGTCGAAGCAACCGGGCCAACTGAAGACATAAATGAAAAGTTAGTAGATCCAATTAGTGCGTTTCAACAAATATTTCCTGATACATTAATCGATCATTTAGTATACCAAACAAATTTATATGTAATGCAAACAAATGGAATTAACACAAAACCAGCATTCTTTAATGAGATGAAACAATTTTTGGGAATAAATATACTTATGGGAATTAAAAAATTACCAAGTTATAGAAATTACTGGAGTTCTATATGCGAAATGAGAGATACATATATATCTTCGAAAATGCCAGTGAATAGATTTGGATGGTATTTGTCAAAATTGCACGTGAATGATAATTCACTTATAAAATCCCGTAATGAACCCGGTTTTGGCAAACTATTCAAAATAAGACCCATTCTAGACAATCTAACGGTAACATTCAAATCTTGTTATAACCCTACGAGAATCCAATCAATTGATGAGTCGATGATAGTATTTAAAGGAAGATCAAGTATAAAACAATATATGCCCAACAAACTAACAAAACGCGGCTATAAAGTATGGACAATGGCTGATGCGTTTGGCTATGTTTGTCAATTTGAAATTTACACCGGAAAAACTAATAACATAGAAGAAAAAAATTTGGGTGCTCGAGTTGTCAATGACTTGGTGCATGATTTAGTCGGAAAAAAATATATAGTGCATTTTGATAATTATTTCTCCTCTCCTAAATTGATGGCTGATTTATTAGAACATGGTGTATTAGCTTGCGGTACAACAAGAAAACACAGAATTGATTTTCCAAAAAAATTTTCTGATGATAAAAAATTATCAAGAGGTCAATATGAGTGGCAAGCAACAGTTACGGGAATTGTCGCCATGAAATGGAAAGACAACAAAGGTATTCATTTTTTGTTGAACTTTCATGAGCCCACTCAGGAAAATCATGTAAATAGAAAACAAAAAGACGGAACAAGTCAAATCATCATTTGTCCTCAACTTGTAAAAGAATACAGTGCCCACATGGGGTATGTTGATAAGGCTGATATGCTAATGACCTTGTACAAAATTGATCGTAAAAGTAAAAGATGGTATATGAGGATTTTTTTTCATTTTCTCGATCTCGCTGTACATAATGCATTTATATTATTCACTCTAAGTTCACACAATAAAGGAAAAACCATTTCACTCAAATATTTTCGTTTAGCTGTTGCCACTGCATTGATTGGTAATACAAAGCCTTCACCACGCGGAGTTAAAAAACCAATAAAATTTGAAAATAATTATAAGCCCAAAGTAATATATGAAAAACGTTTCAACGCCGCCGAACATAWGCCTTTAAGAAGTGGATCTAGTAGATGTGCTTTTTGCAGTTCTAAATCCGAATCTCATCGCAGTAAATGGTCCTGTTCAATATGTGAAGTTGCATTGTGTCTCAATGAAACCAAAAATTGTTTTAAAGACTATCGTACTAAGTAAAATTGTTATTTGTAAAAACTATGTACTTTTATTTTATCACAAGTAAGATACCTAATATATTAAATATTAATCCATAATTACAAAATTTTTAATAAAAAAAAAAATTGTGTAAGCCCATAGTGGTTCAAACTTTGAATTGTGACTATGTATTTCTTTTATTTTTCAACTGCTATTGTAATAATATGTTAGGAGCCTTGTATTACATTTCCAAATCCTAGATATAAAAGGAAAAACTTTTATGAATTTCTATCTAAGATAATTTGAACATAGCTTTAATTTGTACGTATTTAGTCAAAATTTGAACTTTAAAAGCTTATAAAAAAAAATCACACCTACCTATGTATTTTCAATAATTTTCAACTACTATTGTCACAATCTGATAGGTCCTTGTTTTAAATTTTCAAACTCTTCTACCCAACAAATAAATTGTTATCGATATTAATTTAAAAAAAACTAATAATGATTAAATATTGCATATGCTTAAAAATAGTTCAACTTAAGGCCCGTTTCACATGGACGCATATCAAACGCGCGCGTTTCATACGTCGCGTTCAAAATTACGTTATTTATATTGGCTATAATACGGTACTTTTTAATTACTATTATATTCACAATGAACTCAATGGACACAGAGCACTTAATAATTGAGGTACAAGGCCATCCTAATTTTTGGAACCCTGGTGTTGAAGAATACAAAGATCGTGATTTAAAGCAGTTTAAAGCTTGGGAGGATGTGACAAAAAAAGTAGTGTCCTCATATGACACCATGTCTAAAGCTGATCAGAATAAAGCAGGTAATTAAATTAAAATTCTGTATAATAAATAATAAGATTTTATTAAATACATTTATCTTGCCATTCTAATTTTCCTGCATCACTTATAAAATAATTGGCGAACTTGTCTCTTATTGTATTACCACATCTAGTCACATTATTATTTTTTATATTTACCTCGTTCACATTTTCTAAACCTTCAATGCTAAGAGTGTTTTCAAAATTAAATCCATCTCTAACTCGTATAAAATTATGCAGAATACAGCATGCCTTTACGATACTTACAGCCAACTCAACATTCACATTCATTGGTTTGTGAAAAATATGAAATTTATTAGATACTATTCCAAAACTGCATTCAATATTTCTCCTTGCAGGCGATAAAAGATWATTAAAAATTTTTTTTTATAGTTCAAATTGTTCCGTGCATAAGGCCGTAAAATATTTTTTGATAACCCGAAAACTTCATCCGCAACTATTACAAATGGATAACTATCATCATCGTTTCCAGGAAAAGGCGTTGGGTTAGAAATATTTAACGTATTATTGATTTAATGATTTCGAACTTTCAAATAAACCAGATAGTTCTCTAAATGATACTCGTAATATGCTATTGAACCATATCACTGAACCTTCGGGGAGAAGACTAGTGGACATCGGTTATTTTTTTAATGAAATAAAAATCATAAAGCATTAAGCATTTGATTGTACTTTCTCAAATTTGAAATTTGAACAAGAAATAAGAAACGGTTTCTATAGTACATTYATTTTAAAATACGATGTTTGTGGATTAAAAAAWATATATTTACAGAAAATCCACAAAATCCAAAAAAATTAGACGTCAATATGGCATTTACGATGGGTGTGATTAATACTGGTCAAGGCTTTACGCAACTTCAAGAATTATCATCAGTATTAAACATGACAGCATGGCTAATACATTATATCAAAAATGTCACAGTAAAATAAGTGATTCTATGTATGAAGTAGCGTTTGAAGAAATGAAGGCTGAAGGAGTAGAAGAGACTAAGAATGCTCTAGAAAAAGGTGAAGTGGACGAACTAGGAAGACCATATATTACTGTAGTTGCTGACGGAGCTTAGTCAAAGCGCTCATATAAGACCAACTATAATGCGTTATCAGGTGTCGCTACTATAATAGGTTACCATACTAAAAAAGTATTATTCATGGGAGTAAGAAATAAATACTGTGTAATTTGTGAAATTGCATTAAAATCTGAAAAACCAATTCGTTCTCATACTTGTTATAAAAATTGGTCAAGTACATCTACATCCATGGAGTCAGATATTACTGTGGAAGGCTTTAAAGAAAGTATCACAATGCATAATTTAATTTATGCTAAATTAATCGGTGATGGTGATAGTAGCGTCACCAAAAAACTACATATAGCAAAACTTTAAAGTTGTTAAAATTGAATGTACAAACCATATAATGAGAAATCGTCACCATATACTGCAACACCACGTATCTCAGTTTTTGTAGGTTTTCAGGAGCAGCAAATAACGTGATTTAAATGATTTATACTTACTAATTTCAGTACTGGTAATGTTTAATTAGTATATTTTGTACTTATAATGTTTTTTAAATACATAAATATTATATTTAAAGTAAAATAATGGTTTTAAATGAGATACGTGTTGTTATAAAATAATAATATCGAGATAGGTTGTTTTAATGATTTTCCATGTATGGTTTTTAAAATGTATAATGTTTAAAATATATTTTGTTTATTTTTTAGAACATTAAAATAAAATACATTTTTAATATTAATAAGTACCATGTWAATTCTTTTTTGTTATTAGGTATAAAAATGAACAATTTATTTCAACAAATAATAACAAGTTTAACCCTTTGAGTGCCAGAATAATTTTGACCAGTGGCACCTGCCAGACCAAATTATTTTTGCATTTTTTTATTTTTTCTTATATTTTTGCATTTTATTTTATTGAATAATAAAATGACTAAAAAAAAAAAAATTTTTTTAACTTTTTTTTCCAAAGTTATTGTACTTTTAAAATTAAGCATTAAGTGGTTTCTAAAATGTTAACGAATGTGACAATTAGCGGTGTAAATGATTTAGCGTTTGCTTCTGATAACACAACTTTTATTTTTATGCAATACAAATAATAATACTAGTAATTATAATAATAATAGTAATATTATAAAAAAGTTAAGTAAATAAATTGTTTGTATAATATACAAATATACAAAATTATTTTAAAAATATTGTGGCCAAAAAATTTATAATATCATTTTAAAGTTTTATAAAAATTATCATACATTACATTTTAAATTTTTTTTTATAATATACAAAATTTCTACAATTATACATTTTAAAATAATTGCACGGCCAAATAATTTTTTTTTGTGTGGTAAATGGTGAAACATGGTGTAACACATAGACCGACATCACATTCTTAACACATATACATTGTATCCTTTCCTTTGTTGTTCCTGCTACAAACTATACATTTTCTCGTTTGAACTTTTCCTGACTCCAATTATTTTACATCTGATGGAAAATACCGAGCTGATAGTCGAAATGGTTGATCTTTAGTACATGGTCTTCCTCTGGGGCTTATTGTATTACCACCATATTTTTCTAATAGTTGTCGAATTACTTCAAGTTGGAAATTTGCAATTGACATATTCTGTCCAGTAACTGTTTTGAAAGCAGATAATGCATTTAAAATGCTTCAGTCAATCAAATGAAAAAACATTTTTTTGTACCATTTGATGGTTTTCCTAACACATTCTACTGAACTTAGTAGCATATCTGTCTTATCAATGCTACCCATACATTAGTTATAATTTATAACACARATTGGTTTTTTAACAAGATTCCCTTTTCGGTCAAACTTGCCAGAGTCATCTAGTTTATTATCAAACTTAGTAGATAACATGAATACTTCTCTTCTGTCAACCCATTTCAAAACCATAATTTTTTTTTATGAGAACTTTGTACACCTCCAACAGCTAATTTATTTTTTAATTCAGGCATCCCTCGTCTGTTTTTTCTTACTGTTCTTGTTATTGTGGTTTTTTTTTTTGTATAAATACTGAGCTAATATTGGAGAGGTATACCAGTTATCAGTATACAAGTTATATCCTTTGTTCAAGTATGGTGCAATAAGAGTTTTTACAACAGCTCCTGATGTGCCAATATTTGCATCATATGGAAGTAATCTTGTTTCAGCTCCAGTGTATATAATGAAATCAAGGATGAAGTCAGTCTCAACATCACAAAGGACAAATAATTTAATTCCAAAACGATGCCTTTTTGTTTTTATAAATTGCTTGAAGCTTAGTCTACCTTTCCAGAAGACTAAGCTTTCATCAATTACTATATTTTGAAAAGGCATCATACCAGCCTTAAAATTTGTGCGAATTTCATCTAATACAACATCTAATTTGTATAGACGGTTTCCCTTTTCTTAATTCTCATTGTTGCAGAAATGAAGCATTTGAAGTAATAATAAATATCTGTTTCTAGAAATTATTTGTCTGAAAATTGGTGAGCTCAGTAATGGGTCAGTAGACCAGTAGTCTTTCATATCAAGTTTTTTATTTCTTTACATTAATATAGTACCTAGTTGCTAAAAATGTATACACCTCACCRATATTTGTATCCTTCCAAGCATTTACTCTAGATTGATGTGCGATTTCATTGGATTGTTTATATTGTTCAGCATACCATTTGTCTCAAATACTTCTTTGCCAAGTAAAAATTCAGAAACAAATGCTTCAAAAAAATCTAGAATACTTGAGTCGTTGTTMAAACTAAATTCATGTTTTTGAACTCCACACTAAAAAAAAAAGACATCATAACAATCATAAGTAATATGATCTAGTTATAATAGATTAGTTCATTATCATACATAATGCAACTGTCTATCAATGTTTACCTTGGATGAGTCGAAATAATGTTCTTTTGGCCTAAAGTTCCCTTTAGTTTTCCATTTAAAATTTGGCGTCTGTAATGATATTTTTTTTACTCTCCTAACTGGTGCTATTGTACGTTAGACTATTGGAGAATGATCAGGAGACGGTGGATCTGTAACCACTGACTCAGTCACCTCAATATCTGTTACACATTTTTGATATATAAATACATGGTTCAAAATAAAATACAAGTAAATACATGACAGTTTTAGTTTGTTTTTACAACAACTAAAATATCAAATTATAATATAGTAATAGTAATAC